TTATATTGCAGTAAAAAGAAAGGTACTAAATTACAGTTGGCCGTCAGTTTGTTTAATATATATAGTTATAATGATTCAATTGAATAATAAATATGTAAGTAAATAATATTGAACTATTATAAGTCGAGTTGGTAGTAACAAGTACCTTTTTAGTACTGTCACAATCTAACTTGAGGACAAGGCAGTCTTTAGACTTCGAGAATTTGTAGGTATATAGTATTTGAAAAAGAGTGATTAACAATCTCTCTATACTTAGCATTGCCTTGAACATTTTTAGCAATCAAGGTTCGAAGTAACTCGCCTAACAAACTTCGCAACTACTGGCAAAACCTTTTCTATGGGGATGTCTACATTTAGCTGTCTATTGTTTTGCCCATGATACCCACTATGCGTTGCCATTCCTAAGGACTTAGGTGTTATTCCTCTGTACCCAGTAAATTCACGCCATATCCCACCCTTCAAACCGAAACACAGCCATGCAAACACAACTGCTTCACGGTTGAAACACGAATAGGACAGAGGCACCCAAGCAATCGACTTTTGTACAAAGTCTCTCTCTGGTGTTTCACAAAACGTGCTTGAACATAATGGCAATCGGAGATTGGTGACTAATATGGAAGGTCGTGGAATTTCTGGTAGTAATAGTGATGGTCAATCTTCAAGTGTTAGCAATCACATAAATATTAATGGTAGCGGAATTAAACAAAATAACTCTAATTAAATAATTAGTGACATGTACTTCCATAAAATGTAACCTAGTTCAATTAAATTATTCATTCTTGAGTACTAAAATATTATGACATTAGACTCTGTAATTTCACTATCAAAGTCACTTGTACATTGAACTCAGTCCTTGCTTGTCTGTTGTTCTAAATATTCCATATTTACAATATCCAAATCCAGAATAATAAGATCCACAAGGGTCTATTAATAGACGTGGTATATTGGTACATATTCTATATTATTACATCAGTTAACTTGTCGGATAAGGTTCAAACTTTAACTAATACGTCATTTCAATGAAATTAAGCCACGTGCTCCAGTTTGTGAAATACTCCCATCTAAAATACTTCAAAGTTATGACAAAGGCTTTGTCTAATGTGTGTGTTGCTGTCATGTAGTTGATGAGATGACCTATAACCTATAACTTCGTAACTTGATACATCTGCCTCACTCCAATCAGTTTAAAGATTCTAAATTTAGAATCAACGATGAGCCTACATCAAATATGCATGAATGAAGCAAAAGAGTTGTCTCAGTTAAGGAAAGGATCAAATGTCAATCGGGGAACAACATAAAAGGGAAAGTTGAAATATTAATGTTGGTATAATATTGGTGTTTCTAATTGTTCTTTCTATTAATGATGATGTTAAAGTGTTATAGTATCACTATTCCACTTAGTCATTAAGATGTAAAATGGGGATGAACAAAGCACCAATGTATTAGCGTTATAAATGAGAAAGTTCATTAACTTGTCAATCAACTTTTTTTTATACAACTTAGAATGGCAAACAAGCTGACGACCCACCTGATGGAAAGTGGTAACCGTCGCCTATAAACATGAGCAGTACCACGGACATAACAGAGTAGACTGTTTCGCCCATGATACCCCCATGCGTTGCCATTCCTGAGGACTCAGATGTTATTCCTCTGTACCCTGTAAATTCACGCCATATCCCACCCTTCAAACCGAAACACAGCTATGCAAACACAACTGCTTTACGATAGAAACACGAATGGGACAGAGGTACCCAAGCAATCGACTTTTGTACAAAGTCAAAAAGAAAGACGTTCTCAATTCCGTAGTATTTTTTTATACAGTTATGAACCGACTCGGATTTTTATTTCTGAAAGGATCTACTTATAAAAAAATATTTAGTAGTTTAGTTTTTAAATCGGAATAACTGGTTTTGCTACAAGTGAAGTTGTTTTTTTTTTGTGGAACACATCTTATGGATATTACGTTACTTGAATGTCATTCAATCAGTCTGAAGCGTTTACATTGATTAAAATCAAATATGGTATACACGATGGACTTAGCATACAGTGTACATTTTACCCTTTTTATTAATACTCTAAGAGATGCGTGACCAACAGTTTGATGTTGATGACATTCGTTCCTTATGTGAGTATGATTCCATTTCGTATCACAAGTTTCTTCTACCCTACCTGCTCTGTAAAAGCTAAATATATATATATATATATATATATTCTTAATTGCACTAAAACATGAGATGTTGACAATGGAATGGTTACTCTACCTACGCTATCGGTATATGCCGTATATCGGTGATATGATGATAGATGGCAATGAAAGCTGGTCAATTAGCCCATCGTGATGAATTCCACAAGAATTAACCATGATGGTTTCTAGGGGGAACCGCGTGGAGATCGACTTGATATTGCTAGCAATAGGTTGTTAGATCCAATTGCTAACAATCTCTTCCCTCCGAATCGTCACAATTATATAAATACTAATTGACGACATTTGTTATTTTTTACACGACAGAATTTTGACATTTTATTTTTTTGTACAGACCTATTACAATATGTCGTTTATAGCCTATAAATTTAGCGATGCCCATATAAAATTCGTCGATAAGTTGAAAACGATGTTAACAATATTTTATTAAGTGTCTTACAGGGGAAACAGAATATAAAAGTAGGACCCTTTTCCGATATCAATTCGTGATACTGCAATAGTCTATTCTGTCGCATTTATTGATGTACCTAATAAATAGAGAAAAGGTCTTGAATAAAATAGCAGTCCATTAGTATTGTTGTTACCATTTTATTTGAATATAGTAATAAATTTTTAATTAAAAACTGTCTGAGGGATTTTGTAATTCTTCACAATACTATTAGTTTAACAGAACCTATATATATATATATATATATATATATATATATATATATATATATATATATATATATATATATATATATATATATATATATATATATTACAACACAGCGGGCAAACGAGCATGCGGCTTACCTGATGGTAAGTGACTATATATATATATATATATATATATATATATATATATATATACATATATATTTATACCACTGAGGTGGCAAACAAGCATACGGCCCACCTGATGTTAAGTGGTTACCGTAGCCTATGAACGCCTGCAATACCAGAGGTATTACGCGCGCGTTGCCGACCCTTAAGAAACCTCTTTACCCCCCTTTTGAAGAACCCCATGCTGTAGTCTCTCGGGAAAACCTCGGCAGGGAGCTCATTCCATAACCTGAGTGTTCGTGGGAGAAAGCATCTCTGAAACCGCGTTGTACGCGACCATTTAGGCTGTAAGGTATGAGGGTGAACTCCCTGTCGATGGCGAGCCGTACGATGATAGAAAGTGGCCGTAGGCATCATATTGAATAATTCCTCTGAGCACAATCCGTTGTATAAGCGGTAGAACACGCAGAGTGAGGCAAAATCTCTCCTAAGGCTTAAGGGTTCGATACCGCTTGCAAGCATGGGATCATCGACAATTCTCATAGCTCGTCGTTGCACTGAGTCGAAGGGTTCAAGCTGGTATCTAGGTGCTCCCGCCCATAAGTGACAGCAATACTCCATGTGGGGCCGGATTTGCGATTTGTAAAGCATTAATCGCTGATCCGGCGTGAAGTAATGCTTCGCTCTATTGAGCACACCGAGTTTTTATATATTTTTATATATATATATATATATATATATATATATATATATATATATATATATATATATATATATATACACACACATGGAATATATTTCAGTAGTAAATGCACCACCTACTTTTCTGTTTGCCTCATGGTTGACTGTTAGAGAACGCTATTAGGTGTTAAGTTCGCCATATGTACACTTACTTATATACTCGTAATTGTGCATTACAGTTTAAATAAATAAATAAATATTTTTGATATTACTAACGTGCATATGAATGGGATAGTTTTATGGTAATCATTATAAGGCGAACTATATGGTTAAATACCTCGTTGTGTAGACAAATAAATTTTCATACAATTTCAAGTACTTGTTCAATATTCTATACGTACAAATGTAAACAGTTCGTCTAAAAATAGGTTTATTTATAACCGAAATTAAATTTACTTTGTCAGCCTTTTCATCGAATTGTGCAATATCGCAGTGACAAGTATACGAGATTTCTAATTTATATAATACCTGTGTTTATCCGCGACTTCGGCTGCGTGATCAGGAATTGGGAATTGACTGTGATAAAATTTAGCTTTTTTTAATGGGTGATAATGGAATGGTCGCCGTGTGGTCCCGGCATAGAATAGGCCATCCCTACCCTTTCCGTGCATGTCGTAAGAGTCGATTAAAGGAGGGCGAGTGATTGGCAGCAGCGTTTCTCTTAAAACATCACTAAAGCCTAACTGTGATTGTCAACCCGCCTGCTAAGTGTGACAACTACTGGAAAACCCTACCAATGGGATGACCTAGGCCGGCAGCACACCTGCAATGCCGTTGGTGTTGCGGGTGATGGGCGGCGGTAGTCATTTACCATCAGGTGAGCCGTATGCTCGTTTGCACCCTGTGTTGTAAAAAAAATGTTCAGCAGTGGACAGATAACGGTTGATATGATAATGTGACAATGTAAGATATAGTATGAAACTTCTTTCAAATCCATTCAGCTTCTCGAGCGTGATTGATTGACATACCACTTTATTATTAGTATAGAATTGGCTTCATTATCAATTGTTTGTACTACAAAGTGCTGGGGGGAAAGGGATTGTTAGTAATGAGACTGAGAATCACATTGCTAGCAATATACCCGACCAGGTCGACCTCCTCGCGGTTCCCCCTGGAAACTATTATGGTTAATTCCTGATGGATTCATCATGATGGACTAACTGGCCTGTTTTCATTCTCATCTATCATCCTTAACTAGTGCTCCGCCAGCGTATCTCGTTAGTGCAGGCGGGTTACCATACCATTTTCAACCATAAAAAAAAAACTACAAAGTGTTTTACGATATTTTCAGATGAACCAATCCAACGGGACGCAAGTGTTTCTCCGACGCTTAGATCTCAGTCTCGCTGGCAACTTCAGCTGTGAAGTTACTGCTGACTCTTCATTTGCGACCCAGATTGCTACAAAGTTCGTTGACATCATAGGTAAATTTCTATTTTCTATTAATCTTTAACAAAATATATATTGCCAGAGGGAGACTTTGTACAAAAGTCGATTGCTTGAGTATCTCTGTCCCATTCGTGTTTCAACCGTGAAGCAGTTCTGTTTGCATGGCTGTGTTTCGGTTTGAAGAGTGGGATATGGCGTGAATTTACTGGGTAGAGAGGAATAACACCTGAGTCCTCAGGAACGGCAACGCATGGGGGGTATCATGGGTGAAACAATATACTCTGTTATGTCTGTGGTACTGCTCATGTCTATAGGCGACGGTTACCACTTTCCATCAGGTGGGCCGTCAGCTTGTTTGCCATTCTATGTTGTATATAAAAAAAAATATTAATTTCGCGAAATAAATGTTTTATGGATTGTCACAAATTAAATTTATAACAAGTTTTATTTAAATCTATTACAAATTTAGTTAATATTGCTTTTTAAGGTAAATAATTCGCTGTGATCAAATTGAATTTTAGGGATAGATATAGAGAAATTGCATCTTAGAATCGAACCCGTTAATTCTGTTACGATTAAACTTATATTTAACGCAGTCTTAGCGTTTAAACCGACTTCAAAAAAGGAGGTTCTTAATTCAGTTGGATTTTTTTTAGTTTGTTACCTCATAACTCCGTCAGTCGTGTACTGATATGGAAAAATCTTTCTTTATTCTAAAAAAATATATTTACAGGTTAGTGCTATAGAAATTTTATCAAAATCTATTCAGTCATTTAGTTTTTAGATCAAAATAGCTAGTTTTGTTATAATTGTTTTTTTTTGTGGTCCACATAATTGTTTTGGAGCAAATCTTCTTGTTATACATAATTTTAGATTATATGATAGATCTATTTATATGATCTAAAATTATATATTTATATATAATTATGTAAACACTCTAGTGTCTCCATAAAAATGCTTCGAGAAAAGCAGGTCAACTTTTGATACAATTTTGCATGATAAATAGTTATGAGTGATTCCTTCATAACTTCTATATTTATTTTGTCTTATCGTTTTTACATCTTTTTAATGCGTAAAAATTAATTTTATTTATCAAATAATTAAAAATAGATACGTCAAGATATGTTGTGTGCGTAAGTATATAGAACGTTAATAAAAAAAAAAAACGAGTCAGTTAATTAGACAATTAGCTGACAAAAATTAACCCGTTTTTTGAGACTCGATGCTGTATCTATATAATCTAAGTACGTAATACTATCAATTGAAACAACAATAAATGAAGTAACAGTAATGAGGTAAACTCATATTGTATTTGATACAATAGGAACTAATTATTATTTGTTACACCAACCTTCGTCCCTTCCGACTGTCTACCCCTAATCATATCTATTTCCCCACATGAAAACATATCTAGCCTTATAGAATCATAGTCGTATCATATTTCGTAAAATATAAACGTTCATGCTCACTATTTTACTTTATCTGAGCAGTAAGTGCTTTATAATTATTCTCAATTTTGTGTATAATATAGTATATTTTATTAATGTGTAAGTATATTTGTTATTTATATATATTTATTCGTTTATATATGTGATTTTAGTATGTATGTATATCAATAATTAGTAGTACCGCATTCGAGTATTCTGACACTTTCCTATGGTTGACTGGGAGAGAATGCTTTTAGCATTAAGTCCGCCATGTACACATATATACTAATGAATAAATAAAATAAAAAATTGTCCTATCGCCATTAGGTGTTAAGTCCGCCATTTGTACACTTATTAATATTATATAATTGTGCATTACAGTTTAAGTAAAAAAATAAATAATTTAATTTAAACGAGGCATTTGGCGTTCCATTGTTTCTGCCTACCCTAATGGGAGACAGGCGTGACAGATATGTATGTATGTATAATATAATTTATTAGTTATTTGATTAGAATTATTTTGTTTAATTCCGCTACCATTAGTATGTGTGCGACTGCCAACATTCGAATTTTGACCACCGCTGTTACTACCAGAAGTTTCATAATTTATCAGCTGTCAATCTTCGTTTCAATACTAATTCAAAAAACCGGTGATATGGACTTCCTCAAGATAACACCTAGTTCTGTAAAACGTTAACGTAACTATTACTTGTAGGGTTAAAAAATACAGTGATTAATTGTTCGGATTGATATCTGCTGCTGATTTTCACCACCGTACAACCCGCCACAAACTAAAGTTTCATCCCAATCACGAGTGGCGGTCTTCCACCGTGCGTTTTTCAAGGCACTTTCTACCACGCACAACCATTCTTTGGAATCAATTTCCAGCAGCAGTATTACGAACCGATACGACAACATAACCTTCAAGAAAAGAGTATATTCCTTTTTAAAAGGCCGGCAGCATACCTGCAATGCCATTGGTGTTATGGGTGATCATGGGCGGCCGTAGTCACTTACCATCAGGTGAGCCGCATGCTAATTTGCCCCCTGTGTTGTAAAAAAAGAATTATTCAATATCTAGTTGGTGATAGTATCAATTAATTTTTCTTGTAAACTGAACTTTTGTTTGACAATCGTGGCACAATGGTGGATTCATTGCTTTGCGTCAATAAGGTTTCGAGTTCGAATCCCGGTCTGTACAATTTACGAAAAGAACTTTTCTTAATTGACTCGAGTCTGAGTATTCTGATGAGTTTCCCAGATATTTGTTGCTTGGTTTTTTGATATAAGATATAGCAGCTAGAGGTCCAAGCGATTGGTGTGATGGTGTGGTTTTTTTTATATATCACTGAGGTAAACAAGCATACAGCCAATCTGATGGTAAGCACTTACCGTAGTTACGAATGCCTGCAGTACCAGGGGCATTACGCACGTTGCTAACTCTGAAGTTACTTCTTTGTCTGGCGTGAAAAGGATTGGCATGGAGTTTAACAGCCCCATTGCTAGCAATATGCTCTATTAGGTCGACCTCCACATGATTCCACCTGGAAACTATCGTGAACAATTCTTGTTGAATTCGTCACAATGGGCTAACTGACCTGCGTCATCCTCACCTATCATCCTTCACTGGTGACCCGCCGATGTATACCGATAGCGCGATACCATTCCATTATCACGCATTAAAAAAAAACTTCTATATCCATTTTTGAAGAATCGCATGCTGTAGTTTCCTAGAAAAACCTAGCAACGATGTTTAATAAAATAGAAAAACTATTTTTATTTAAAAAACAAAAAGATTCTTAGAAAAGAGAAACATTCGTTAAAATGTAAAAAATCTATAATTTTGAGAGCAAATAGCCGAATACAAATATCCTTGTAGAAACAATTCTGTAGCTGTCCACACCAAAGCTATATTTAGAAAGATACTTTTTTTTTTATAAAATTTAGAATGGCAAACAAGCAGACGGTCCACCTGATGGAAAGTGGTAACCGTCGCCTATAGACACGAGCAGTAGCATGGACATAACAGAGTATACTGTTTCGTTCATGATATCCCCCATACGTTGCCATTCCTGAGGACTCAGGTGTTATTCCTCTGTACCCAGTAAATTCATGCCATATCCCACCCTTCAAACCGAAACACAGCCATGCAAATACAACTGCTTCACGGTAGAAACACGAATGGGACAAAGGTACCTAAGTAATCGACTTTTGTACAAAGTCTCCCTCTGGTAAGGGATTACATAAACTATATATTACATTCGAAAATTCTATCCACTCGTGTGAATATGGCCAGAATACAAGAATGTATTCTATAAATTGTATACTAGACTTCTATTATTAATTGAAAATGCAAAGCGCAAATTCAAAATGTAATTATATCGTTTTACAATATATATGTGTGGCATAGTTGTAAATTCCCTTCTTCATATTGCGAGAGATATTAACAATCGAGTGCTCATTACGTTGATTGTGGTTTCTGAAGCAATTGTCTGCATATTTGAAACATATATCGTTTGAAACATACAGCGTAATCAAAAGATTTGCTTTTTTTATAATTGTACTTATATGTGTATTATAATTTAGTTAAATATAATTTATATAAAAAATATAATATAAATATAATAAATATAACTTAGTTAAATATAATTAGTGTAATATAATTTAGTTAAAATTATTGGCTTTTTTTAAACGCCTACTAATACGTTTTCCCTGTGTTTGTCTTGTAAATATTCATTTAATTGCTTAATCTGACTGACTTATTTGCACATATCCAAACAAGATAAATTGGCGTATTCGGCGCCCAAACTTTGAAAAGGGTCGATTAATGAACAGAATGGGGCCGTAAGTGTTCCTTTTTACCAATTTTGTTCGGGGTTACTATCGAGATACTACTTTATCCTGTTGAATTTAATGGAGGTGGAAGTTTTAATTAACTAACATTGCTAAGTGGTTCTAGTGCAGTGATAGAACTTTGAGGACTTGTGTGCTTCAGAATACAATGTTTATTTTCGTCTTTAAACTAATAGTAATAAGTACTGTTTTGTATTGAAACAATATTTAAATGATCTTATCTGGTAAAGCAAAATATATACAAATAATTAGAAATCATACTTCGTATATTATAATAATCATATTAGCCGTTAATTGTCCACTGCTGAACATAAGCCTCTCTCTATTGGGTTTACTAGTAGTTGCTATACTTGGCAACCAGGTTGGCAAGCACAGATAGGTTTTGGTGATGTTTAAAGTGGGATACTGCTGCCCATCCGTCAACCATTAAGTTCTGTTAGTCGCCTCACAATACCCACGGGAAAGAAAGAGGTGGCCCGTTCTATACCGGGACCATATGGTGCACATTATTATACAAAATGGAATATATGGTTATCACATCAAACCTTAACTGTCTGCTGAGCATAAGCCTTCCCTAGAATGATTTTGCCAGTGGCTTGGCAGGCGGATTCGCAACCGCAGTTAGATATTTTAAGAGACGCTGCTGTCCATCCCTCGCCTTCCCTTAGTCGCCTCTTATGACACCTATGGGAAAAGAAGGGGTTTATTCTATGCCAGGATCACGAGAAATATAAAAGTCTCTTTTATTTAAATTATTACATACAGAGTATAAATGCAGTGCAGGCGGTTTTTTTTTCAAAAAAGGCACTGTGTAGAGTTGCATGTTCTGTAAATAAAGCTATTACATTGTTTCATATGTTTTTCCTTTGAAGTAGACATTTACTTCAAAGGATATTAAATTGTAGTTTCCGCATAACGTGACTATGTATGTACTGATGATTTAAATTTCTCTCTTCATTTGTCATGTTTCGTTTTAATGAGCCAAACAAGCTGATGGACTGTACGTACGTTTGTCCCTGTACGGGTAAATGTAGTGTAGGACGACCCCACACTAATGGAGTGACGATTTTAAATGCGACTTCAAATGCAGGTAGCCCAGGAGCTGGTCCAGGTCTTTATGGCAGTTTAACATAATTAAATAATAGTCTAAGGGAGGGAGAATGTACAAAAGTCGATTGCTTGGGTACCTCTGTCCCATTCGTGTTTCAACCGTGAAGCAGTTGTGTTTGCATGGCTGTGTTTCGGTTTGAAGGGTAGGATATGGCGTGAATTTACTGGGTACAGAGGAATAACACCTGAGTCTTCAGGAATGGCAACGCATAGGGGTATCATGGGCGAAACAGTCTCTGTTATGTCCATGGTACTGCTCATGTCTATAGGCAATAGTTACCACTTTTCACTAGGTGGACCGTCAGCTTGATTGCTATTCTAAGTTGTATAAAAAAAAATGATAAAACAATTTATATACAGGGTGTCTACAAAATATTCACAAAACATTTTGTAAATTATCGCTTTTTGTGGTGCAAAATGTATTTGAGACGACTCCTATGACCAAAGATCGATTGCTCTCTTCAAAAAACAGGAAAAGATAATATTAACTAGGTTACTCAGCTGCGACCTGGAACCCCAGTACACTAAATTGAGGGACGACCGGACGTGACTCTGTTTTGCGAAATTTCTCGATTTGTATTCAATACTGTGTTGCCAACATTGAAATCAATTCCGCTTCCATACAAACATGCTATTTGGGAGCACCGACGTTAATCTCATTAGCGCGGCCCATTGTAACTAGGAACTTGCAAATTGTAACAGCAAAAGCAATTGACACGAACGAATTCGTGAAATTATAACAGTTTTATTGAATTTCTATCGTATTGATGGGTACACAATGTTCATTTTAATTTTGTTTTCATTGGACTTTACAAAGACGGTATTCAATTAAATTGTATTGTTTTCCATTGGCGATATCCGAATGTAGGAGGCTTCTAATTCGCTAATATTTTTAAGCAATTTCAAAAGAAGATGGATCTCTCAATCTGGTTTCCCTTTTGTTGAAATGTTACGCGATTTGCGACTTTTGCTAATTCTTTTGCTAAAAATGGATCTCAGCTGTTTCTTTTTTTGCAATCGAAAATGATTGACTTAGTTATTGCTTTTTCCTTATACAAATTTTGTCGTTGCGTTCCGAATAGGCGGATAAAAAAACTACTATTGAATAATGGTTTAAATTTAAGTTTACTCAAATAAAAATATTTATTTCTTTTTATCAAGACTGAAGTCCATATTTTAGTGGAATAAGATGTTATTTTCTTAAATTTAATTATAATAATAATAATTAGATATTATTATTGCTCTTAGATTCTGCCCTCATTGTACGCCGGTTTCTCTCCCTGGGGCCCTGAACCCCGGCCGACTGTGCTTCTGCCGGGGGTTAGTTGCCATCTCCTCTCCTTAAGAGGGAAGATGAGAATTTTTATAAAGTTTAAAAAATAATAATTTATTTGCTCCAAATGTGATTTGTACAAATGGTCTTAAATGATAACAGATATATGTATATTAGGTATAATCTTGGAGATTTCCTTTTTTATTTTGCCTTGTTGGTATTTATTTTATATATAACTCATATTAGCCGTGTGGCCCCGGTTAGAATGGGCCAATTTTTCCTTTCCTGTGTGTGTCATAAGAGACGAGCAAGGGGAATGAATGGTAGAGGGGTAAAGAGCAGCGTCTCTTTTAAAACATCACCAAAGCCTAATTGTAGTTATCTGACAAGCGTGGCGACTACTGACAAAACACTACAAAGGGAAGGCTAATTTGAGCAGTGGATAAACTTGCCAGAGCAAAAATTGCGTACATTCAGATATATGCAGGATAATTATACATATTAAATTGCAACATATTATATTAATGTCTCAGATATAACTACGTTAATTATCTCAGATATAACAAATTAATTTTTGGAGGGAAGCATTACAGCAGTAGAATGGGATGGCAACACTTTATGTTGTCCCCTATCTTCCAACCTAGCTATCCTATTATTACTCCATTAGAGTCGATATTGTTCTGGCAAACTAAAACGATATTTAGCAAGAAGCTGCGGACAGTCAATTCTGTTTTTAAACAACTCGGTATAAGAACATTAAGTCCTATTAATAATAGATTCTAATGTACTTGTAAGTAGCATTAATATCACATTTTTTATGCAACTTAGAATAGCAAACAAGCTGACGGCCCCCCTGATGGAAAGTGGTAACCGTCGCCTATAGACATGAGCAGTACTATGGACATAACAGAGTATACTGTTTCGCACATGATACCCCCGATGCATTGCCATTTCAGAGGGCTCAGGCGTTATTCCTCTGTACCTTGTAAATTTACTGCCATATCTCACCCTTCAAACGGAAACATAGCCGCGCAAACACAGCCTTCCTTCTTTCTTTCTTTCTAGCCTCGTAGTCATATCAGTCCAATATCCATGCCATTCAATAGTACAGTTCTTGGTAAATACCTTAAGTGTAAGTACAGTATTATTTGTTAATGAACATAATGTGTTTTTCTTAAAATGATTGTTAACTATATATAAATAGATATTGCCAACCCGCCTGCCAAGCGTGGCAGTTACTAGCAAAACCCCCCAAGGGGAAGTCCTATGTTCAGCAGTGAAAACTTAATATGATATAATAAAAATAAATAGTAATCTTAATATTAAATGGTATCAGTGCAACAACTGCTGGGAGATCGAATAAAGATAAAATAAAATTGGTTTAAAAATGAATGCCATTATCCAATGGATTTAATCTGAAATCAAATTGTTTTTTATACATAAAAATAGAATAGAAATAACATTTATTTAAACAGACTTGTTTATAAGCTCTTGAACTCAGTATTTTTTAAATCGTAATTTTTCTAATATTGACTTCAGAATACTGTTATCTGGTGAGGAAAGCTCGCAATTACTCTTTTCAAAGTAATTCGTCTACAAACAAAGAACGTGGCACGTTTATTTTACTCTTCCACGTTTATATTATTTCTAAGAATAATAAGAATTATGACACCTGTTTATATATTGATATTGGCAAACGACGGCGAAGTTTACCGTGGAGGTCACAGTGTATTTAATTTGTGAAGTTGACAACGGTGTTCATGTTTATAAATGGTGATTACTACTTTCTCTCAGGTGAACCATCGGCTTAATGACATTTCAAGAACTTTAAATGTATAAATAAATTAACAGCAAATATAATAAGGCTTATCGTTAATCTTCACAATGTAAATCTAAAATTAAGAAGAAACGCCTCAAAAGGTCCCAATGACTCCGAACGTTTCAAATTGGACTGACTTCGTTACGAAGCAATAAGATAAGATAACGGCCAATAATTATTTGAAGGCTATTACTCGAATGATAGAAGATAACAAAGATACAGAACAATAGATAGAAGGTAGAGAGGCCTTTGCTACGTCGTTTTTTGGAAGTGTTTTAATTAAATTAGAATTAAATTTATTTTCAGCTCCTCCAACGTTGGGTCCTGTTTTGAAAGCGGATAAAGATCGTTATCAGCCAGGGGAGATCTTGAGAGCCAACTGCACTTCATCTCCAGGACGACCAGCGACTAATCTCACTATATACATCAATGAAGATCCTGTAAGTACATTTAAGTAAATCCTAAAAGACCGAAGTCTCTCTTTAGAGAGAAAATTTTTGCAACCATGTTACACGATGATGTTGCCAATTCTGACCAGATTTGCACAATTATTTTTGTAGTTAATAGTATTTACTCCTATAAAGGCCCCATTTTAGTTTTGTAACAATTATCATCAAAGACATTTGTCTTTGTGTTGTTAGCTGGAGTATAAAATTGCAACACGCAGTTTTTAGAATGAAGAGAATCTACAAAACATGTCATTGTAGGATATTTGCAAAATATCTCGTCGTTTATCAGAGCGATCAGGATTAAAGTCTTTTTTGTGTTATTTACTCTTTTTTACACTAGTCCAAGAATTATGCAAAAATATATAAAGCCACTGACAAAGTACATAATGCGATTTCGCTAAAGTAGTCTCTTCTAGAGAACTTTTGGGCAGATTAGAAAAAAAGAAGGCTAATGTTTTGCTGCTACATTTACTGAGTTCACTTTTTAATGTTGCATACTTGTATGAATACTTGTAAAAGTATTAAGATGTTAACAATCGTGATTGTTGGTTATACCACGCGGAAGTATCAATTCGTTAAACGAAGCGCCACTAACGCGCGATTATATGTCAAAATCTCATTGCAAATGATTTGGATTCTTCATTATCTACTTTGAGTGAATTCACAGGAATGCCATTATATATTATCAATTGCAAAACGTTATATGTACGTAAATTTAGTTAATTTACATACATTTGTAATTGCTTTTGAATTAGGAATGCGAATCTGTAATAATAGTTTTAAGTTAAAAAAAAATAAGAATACATGGCTGCTATTACATAAAAAATTCTACATTTTTTTGTTTTAAATACTGTAATTTTTTATATTGGATGTATATAAATGTGTGATTACATTAATCTTGTGTTGTATCTAGTAATGCGCCGTGTGATTCCGGTATAGAATAGGCCACCTCTTCCTTTCCCGTGGGTGTCATACGAGGCAACTATGGGAACTTAATCGTCAAGAAATGAGCAGTAGCATCAAACCATCTAAAACATCACCATATAATCGTCGAGGAATGGGCATCAGCGTCCCTTTTAAAATAACAACAAAGCCTAATTGCGGTTGCTAACTCAACTACTAAGCGTGACAACTACAAGCAAAACCACAAAGCAGTGGACAGTTAATAGCTAATACTATTTGGTAATATATTTGTTAACAAAATGTGTATTATACGCATAACTTAACGAGTTATATATATAATTTGTACATATCTGATGGCACCGGGTAAAATTGCATATTTAAATGACAATCGACTTGAGCGCGATAATTAAAGTTGGTTAATTAATTAAAGTGGATTTCGAGTTAAAATAGATTTCGTTAGAATTTCACCAAAAAATTGGTTAGAACAAATTTCATTAAGTGCCTGACAATTACTTTTATTGCTAATTCCTCGAATTCAGTAACGAAATATCTCGAGCCACAGAATTCTCAAAATCAAGTAAATTTATTTATTGCATTAATAAAATTGAACTCTGTTTTATAAAGATAAAGCTTTATAAAAAAAAAAAAAAAACTACAAATCGACGTCAATACATATCAGTTATTAATGCTTGAAATTGAATATAGGTTTGAAAGTGATATGTTTAGGAAATAAATAAATAATGTGCGAGTTGATTACAAGCAAGTAGATAACTCATATTATTGGTGGATAATGTCTAGGCTAGACTTATTAATCTATGAAAAAAAGATTAGAAAATTTGATACCTGGCTATATTCTTTCTGGGTTGTAATCGGTCCAAATAGTTAAATTAAATTTTCAACCGAATTCATAAAGTAGGTTCTCAATTCGACTATATTTTTTATTTTCTATTTTAGAATAGAATAGTAAATATTGGCATTAAAATGTAAATAACATGAGACTCTTACACAAGCATAATTACAAAAGAAATAAATGTCCAAAAAGTTCCCATCACAGCATTGAGTTATCAGCAACGGGCGTATTACCCACTGGTCGTAGTACTGATATTCTGACAGGCCCCATGGTGGCGTCACGGATACCGTAACACCAGAGCAGCATTCATTAGAGACTTAACATTTACGACAACACAAATAATCGAGCGTAAAAATAGAAGAAAGACAAGAAGAATATGAAAATAATAAAAATGGCAAATCATGTTGGGCAATTTCTTAACCAATTTTGAAACTATTTTTGCGATTATTTTAAAAATCAGTTATTCTGTAGAACGAAATTATAAAACATTAAATCAAATATTTATTATGCTTTTATTTGGATTATTTCAGCTCCGATCATCGGAGACCAGTCTACATCCAACCGAGAGTGGACTGTTCTGGGCAAGTGTTCAAGTGAACCTGAAGGTAACTCCTGAGCTTTTCCACGCAGGAAGACTAAGAGTCGGCTGCGTTGCCACCGTGTATGATGTTTACAAGAAGTCAGCTAACTTAGATTTCTTCACGCCGGAGACTGATCCTGTACCTGAGAGAAGTAAGATATTTTCCGTCAATATTCAATATTTAATGCAAAAATTTATCCGTATCATCATTCTATACCGTTGAAAAGTATATCTGTAGAAATAGCAGTCGTAGCGGGGTCGCTAAGATCGAATCCCAGCCTAAACCCAAAGCTTTTCAAATACATTTTTGGTTCTTTTAAGCATTTATTGTTATTTGGAAGAGAGCTAAGGCCATCTTCCAATAACATATATCAGAGGCCATTATGTAGTACAAAAGTGGTCTAAAAACTTGACTTCAGAGGGCGGTGTTTTATGAATAGTAGTAATAGAATCAAACTAAATTTCATTGTCTTATGCTAACTATAGATTGCCACGAGACACGATTAAGATCCACCTGCATCAATACTGTTTATAATCCTTTATTGACCAAGTTGATAATTTTGATCGAAATGGGTATATATTGTTATACTGGTGAATTTCGCTTTAAGTTAATCAATCAATTAGGTAGCAACTCCAAGTAGCGTTGCTATATGGACCATTTAACAATATTTGAGAAATTGTTGGTTTTTAGAATTATTACTTCTGCAAAATTGAGCGTCTAATTAAATAACGTAAATATTTTTGGTTATTATGAGTTACTGATAATTAATATGTATGTAAATACATTATTACTAATAAAAATACACCTTTATAGACAGTTGTCTTTTAAAACGTATCCAAAAATTTTAAATATCGATCAACCAGCTAATAAAACTCAAACTTTTTTCATTTTTTTAATGAGAATATTTTTAATATCGATCATTTTTTATAATTTTTAAGTGAAGTACATGTTTTACCTGATGGTGAAAGGTTGCCATAGCCTATGAATATATGCATCACTAAATGTAGTTTTGTCGTCCGCTATCGCTGTGAGGTCCCGTTGTAGAATAGATCACCCCTTTTTTTCCCATGGGTGTCGTAAGAAGCGACTAATGGAGGGCGAGGTATGGGCGGCAGCGTCCTTCTTAAAACATCTCCAAAGCTTAACTGCGGTTTCCAATTCGCCTGCCAATTGTGGCAACTACTGGCATAATCCCCCAAGGGGGAGGCTTATGTTCATTAGTGGATAGTTAAAAGCTGATATTATAAAGTGTAGTTTGTGTGGGTTGAGGATGGGACATGGAAACCAATAAAAGACTTAAGAAACGTGAAATGAAAAATACATTGATAGTGAATAACATAGAACAATAGATAAAACTAATAAATGTTAAAAAGAATGAAATTTTAATTATAGAAAAAGTAATAAACAAAAAGGTCCACGTTGTGAACCCTAAGGATAATAACACTCGAGTGTTATTAATTCTTCTAATGTTAGATATATTTACTAATAGTTTTACTATTCTTTAAGCAAATGATCTACAGATACTCTTCATGTTAGTAGAAAAAGATACATTGCATACTCTCTTAGACGAATTTATGCAAACTTTCTGACAAGTGCTGTAGAAGTTTACAATAATAATAATAATGAACGGTCTTATCCCAACCAGTCTGGAACAACACCTCAGACGGTTGGGATTCCGAGGCGGCTCACTCCCGGGAAAGATGCAGAAAACGGTGCTCTTAGATTCTGCCTGCATTGTACGCCGGTTTCTCTCCCTGGGGTCCTGTACCCCGGCCGATTGTGCTTCTGCCGGGGGTTAGTTTGCCATTTCCTCTCCTTAAGAGGGGAGATGTGAATTTTCTAGAAATTTAATAATAATAATAATATTCTTTATAACTAGGATCCATTTTTGTTAGTAACAATTGACTTAAACTAGTTTAAATTGTCTCTTTTAATTTTTCAGTCACTCTCAACGGCGGTTCATCAAGTAGCAGATCCTTCAACAGTTGGATATTCTTATTCTTACTATTCTTCTTACCAATGCTGGTTTCCGGTCAAGGGTATGAAACCTTTGACACTGCGTTTGGAGACTACTACGATGAAGAAGTACGTGAGAATATCGCCTTGTCGCTTGTCGGAGGTTGAAGACTAGTTACTAGTTCACAGTGTTACCAGATACGAATTTAGTGATTACAATTTTCCGATTGCAACTTTAACCTCTTAGACACATAAGTTGTAATGGATATATATCTTGCACGAGATTTGAAGAAATGTTGTTTTAAGTACTTGTAACATTTTATTATTTGTGTTGACAAAAGTAAATTGTTTGTTCTTAAATACGGTTTTTTTTTTCTTTATAATAAATACGAATTTACAAAGCAATTTATCTCAGTTATATTTATAATTGTTAAAAAATATTTGTTACACATTTCAATATATAACTTAATTTAAATTAAATATGAAATATTGTAAAAAAATATGAATCAAATGGACTGATTTTTTTTAAATGTATAAAATAATAGAAACATTGGAGAATACGCAATGAAAATTTAATATATTTATTAGATTTTTTTTTAAAGTCCAGTAGAGTGACGAGTTAAAGGATCATTCTCATAATATAATAGGTACGTAAATGCAAGAGAAGTAAAACACATTAGAGATTGTATCCCACGAAAGAAACCGACTTAAACTGTGACAAAGCTAGTTATTTCGATTTACTACCTACTGAATTGATTTTTGTAAAATTTCCATAGAACCAATCTGAAAATATTCCCATTTAGATAAAAAGAAATTTTCTAAGTCGGTTTAGATCTGACGGAGACATACGAGGTAACAAATGTTAAAAAAATAGTATTAGATAAATGAATAGATAAATGAAATTGAAACTCTTATCCTAATATCGATCCTGAATGGATATTTATTAATTTAGTAAATACTAGTCTACTTGATGAATTTATATATGGATAACTCATGACCAACAGTGGGACATGGATTGTTATGCATGCCAGCTATGTGGCTTATTATAAAGATTTCTTTCCTAGCTTCAGTGTTTTAGGCTTTGTTTCGTAGTCCCTTCTTCTTCTATCTTGGAAACGAAAAAAAGTGGAGACATGTCGTAGTTTTAGACTATCAACATACTGAATTTTTATAAAATATGTATGATATAAAAGTTTATTTAAAGTACTAATAATATTGTAAATACAGTTATTAAGAAATGAAGTTGCAATCGGAATGTATAGAATAAAGATAATTTAAGCATAAAGCAAGACTTTACTGTGCACATAGATATGTTAAAATTATCGTTCTCTATTTCTGCAATTCTTAAGACATTCACATCATTGTAACAAGTTTGTCCAATTCAATTGAATTCGTTACATTTATTACGTTCTCTAATCATCATAATCATTTTTATACACTTGTCCCAATTAATATTGCGTTTTTTATTATTAACAAAAAATCTTAAGAATCAGTAAAGTGCATTACAGATATGACATAATAGAGAAAATCTGACTATAAACTGAGTTTTTTTTTTTATAGTTGTTATATTTATTTTTAATATACCATAATGACATAAAAATAATTTTTAAATCGTCTGTGGTGATTAGGTTTAGTTTCTCGAGTTTTGGCTTGGTACATCTATTATGAATAATCTCGTATTAGTTACGGATATTACTTTCTTTTTATGTCTTCATATGTCAGAGCAACTACGTAACTACTTATTTGCTGTTTTATGTCGTTTAAAAAATTGTATGTTTATTGTTTTATTGTTTTATACAACTTACAATGACAAACAAGCTGACGGCCCACCTGATGGAAAGTGGTAACCGTCGCCTATAGACATGAACAGTACTATGGACATAACAGAGTATACTGTTTCGCCCATGCCACCTTCTATGCGTTACCATTCCTGAGGACTCAGGTGTTATTCCTCTGTACCCAGTAAATTCACGCCATATGCCACCCTTCAAACCGAAACACAGTCATGCAAACACAACTGCTTCACGATTGAAACACGAATGCGACAGAGGTACCCAAGTAATCGACTTTTGTACAGTCTCCCTCTGGTGAGACTATTGAAAAAGAGCCGCAGGAAACTGCCACCGATTTGATCACAGATATTGAAAAGAAATTAAGAAGTAACAAATAAAAAACCCGATAAAGTATCTGATCGTTCAATATGAAGAAAAATGTCTAATAGGGCTAATACTGATTGAACAGGATATACAGTGGAAGAAAAAGAAGAAGTGGCATTTGCAGTGGTATATTTAATCCTCAGGAATAACAACGCAGGAGGGGCATCATGGGCAATACAGAATACTCTGTTACGTCTATGCTACTGTTTCTGTCTGTTTACTAATACTGTGTCTACTGTTCCATGAGTAATGGTTTATTTTCCACCAGGTACACTGTCAGCTTGTATGCCATTCGAGTGGCATATTTTTTTCTTAAAGAATTGGCAAACAATCTAATGGCATATGTGATGTGTGAAGTGGTAACTGTCGGCTATAGACACGGGTATCATCATGGACGTTATGCACTGCACACACTGACTGTTCATAAGTAAGTCTGGCAACGCCGGAATTATTTCTCAATTTTCAAAAACAATTAAGCAATTTTTTTAACTTATAATTTAAAAGGTTTTCTACTAGCTAATTTGAACCTTAATAATGCAGTAATATTCTTACTAAGCAGTAACTGAACATTGGGATTTTGTTGGCAAAAATGTATTTGAAAAAAATTCGAAGTAAAATTGAAGTAGGTGCAAAGTTTTTAATAATAGATTTATATATTATGTAGTCTCTAATTCACGTTTTAGTTCGCTAGTAGAGCATGTTTTTTTTTATAAATAAGCAATCAGAATCATTGAAAACTGTTTAATTGCTATTGAACATTGACAGATTATTGTGTCGTTGCCACACTTTGGTAGACCAAGGTTATAAATGCTCTTAATATTTATTCTTAAGGACTAAGTTGTTTTGCCTTTGTGTCTAGTAATTTCCTTAACCTGTATAATAAATACAGGTTAGATTTAATTAATAAAATTAGTTACTTGAATTTCGTTCGTGGCAGCCATTCATGAGTGTTTCAATAACTTCATTTATGTATAAACATTTAGGTTTCATATTTGCTAAAAACTTTGATTTTTTTGTATATATTGTTAACAGTAATATAATCGTACATCATTCAACTATTCAATTTAAATACATTCCGAATTACGCTTTAGAACGATTCCTATCAAGTCCCAACTCATTTTTGAACGTAATTAAGATAGCGCCATCTATCGATTTATATATAAATTAACTCTATCGCTATTCCAGAGAGCATACATTGTGTATTATTACTACAATGGGGAGCCACAAGACGGCAGTCAATTTATATTAAAAGATAGTAATAAATGAAATAGAAATTAGACGGTGGGCGTAGCTAATATATTTTGTCTATTTTTGACCCATATTTATTTGGGAAAAATGTACAGTTTCATTAGCAGAATACTTCCTCAAAAAGGATGAAAAAATGATGCAAATTATTTTGAATTCACCCGTATAAAATGCTTGATTTAATTAAAAGCACACCCTGTATAACTAAAGTTTATTTCACTGTTATTTTCTGGTATAGTATGTTTTATTTAAACTAATATATATATATATATATATATATATATATATATATATATATATATATATATATATATATATATATATATATATATATATATATATATTGTGGCACTCATGTGAGTACCTACTTAAACATTCTAGAGTTTTGTAAAAAAAATTAATGTAAAATATTCCACAAAATTATTTGTAAGTACCACAATGTTCGTAATTTGTAAAATTATGGATAAATTGTTAATTATTAAAAAAAAAAATATTGTCTAAGATTAAAATAAATATTACAATACCTATATTTTTGTTTTCAATTACAACGATTTGACACTGACATTAGCGAGGCACCAGTGAGAAATGACAGATGAGGATGAAAACAGGTCAGTTAGCACATCCTGACAAATTCAACAAGAATTAACCACGATAGCTTCCAGGGGGAACCATGTGCAGGTCGACCTGACAGGGTATATTGCTAGTAATGGGGTTATTTAGTCCCATTACTAATAATACCTTAACCCCCTTAGATATTTATTAGGCCATAATATTACTGATATATTCTCGTTATTAGAAAGTTATTAACATACGAATAAAAATGCTCGGTCTTAATCTGTTTTTTTTTATTTTTTTTATAATTGCTCCCCCTATTAGCAGGTGCACCCTGACTGGATATTAAGTTCCAGTTTTGAATTCTAATGTAATTGTTAATGCAAGTTTTTTTTTTGTTTTTCCTTTCTATTCGTTTTCTTTTATCCTTAATTTATATTACTTTCTAGTCAGTCTTAGCGCCGTGTGGTCTAGGTATAGAATGGGCCATCCCTTCTTTCCTGTGGGTCGTAAGACTAAGGGAACTAAGTGGACGGATGGACAGCAGTCCTTTCTTCTTTATCTGAAAGGATATATTTGCAAATTGGACTTGTAGAAATTTTAATCAATATCGGTTCAGTAGCTTAATTATAGACTAAAGTAACTGCTTTTTTCACAATATATATTATATGATTTAAAAAAGCAATACCATTTTGTAAATTTAAAATTAAATAAGTAGCATGGAGTTATTTTTTGTATAGTTCGTTCTCTTTTCCTTTGACCTGTTTTTTTCTTAACAGAAATCGAATTTGGAATCAAAACTTTTTTAATTACATTCTTTTACTTTCGAGCTTCAATTTAATTTACTGCAACTTTAATAAATTGAGATGAATAAGTAGGTCGTAAACATTTTTCAAGAATTAGTAAATTAATTAAATTTATTAATTTTAATTAATTTTATTGAATTAATAAAACAAATTTATTAAAAAATTATAGAATTTTCATATATGCATTTCGTTATAAAAAGATAATAATAATCATATGGCCGTGTGGTCCCAGGATAGAATGGGCCACCCCTTCCTTTCCCGTGAGTGTCGTAAAAGGCGACTAAGAGAACTTATGGTCGAGGGATGGGCAGCAGCGACCCTTTTCTCCCGTGAGTGTAGTAAAAGCCTACTATGGAAGGCGAATGATGGGCAGCAGCGTCTGTCTTAAAACATCTCTAAAGTCTAACTACGGTTGCCAATCCGTCTGCCAAGCATGGCGACTACTGGCAAACCCCCCCAAGGGAGAGGCTTTTGTCCAGCAGTGGACAGTTAAAGGCTGATATGATGATAATAAAAATTAATAATATAAGTAAAGATATAATTTAGAAGAATTTTCTTTTGAATTGACTTCAAAAAGTACTAAGTTTTATATAAAATTAATTTTAGTTTGTTTGTTTTAAAATTTATCATTTTGCTTGACTATAGATACAAATAAAAGTATTTTTGCATTGAATTCGATACAGTTAACATTTTTGGAAGAAAGCGATTGTTAGTAATGGAGTCTAACGGTTTTATTGCTAGCAATATACATCAAGTTACCCTCGAAGCGATTCTCTCTTGAAATCATCGTGTTTAATTATTGTTGAATTCGAGTCAATAGGTGAACAAACCTGCTTCATCCTCACCTTTTATTCCTCATTGGTGCTACACAAATATATACTGATGCAAGCAGGGTCACCATTTCATTATCAGCCGTTAAAAACATTGCATTCCTTTACTCTGCTTGTCTTAATAATTTATACTACAACCAATTTATGTCCTTCGTTACTCCGTCTAGAACGCTCTTGATTAACTATTTAAACAGAAAACAGAAAATTAATCAACACAATTCTGTTTTCCAACTAAATTGTGTTATTTAATTACAAAACACAAATATAAATGTAACGGGGCACACATTTTGTTTTCGTCGACGTTAAAAAGCTCGGAGCTGCGAAAACAGTGGGTGCTGCGTTCGAAAAATAAACGCTAGAAACTAATTGTTCTGAACGTCCTCAGTTGCATAAATGAGTAGAAAATTATAAGCGGCGCGCAATTAGAACGCGCTAGAAAAATCAAATTAAAACCTCTAATGAACAAACATAGTCCGCGGAACGTTCCCGTTCGCTCTTACAGAGTAAGCAATTAAAGAGACATGTTTTTTTTTTATGTTTTGAATGGCAAACAAGCTGACGGCCCACTTGATGGAAAGTACATCTATAATAGCCTAACTGTGATTGCCAAACTGCTTGCCAAGCGTGGCTACTACTG